TTAAGCTAAATTAATTTATATATTTTTTTATTTGAAATGAAACCTTAATTAATGAAATATTAAACAATTTTTCCAGAAATTATAAAAAATGAGAATCTAGTACACATATTTTATCAATTTATCTTGCATAATTATTACATATCACTATCAACGTGTTCAGAGAAAAGTTACTCATATATGTATATGCACATATCTACATAATTACATACATGCATTTCTATGCGCCTGGTTAACGGCATTATTTATACAATGGGCAAATTCATATTTTCTCCCGTTATTCGCATGCACACATTTCGTTCAGTATCCTGCGGACGCAATACAAAATTCTCGTTTATACCACAGCAATATATGAACTCACACACGCACACACATACACACGCGCATGCACACATATGTCGATATAGATATGCAGATTGGCCAGCTGGTAGCTTAGATAATCTAAAATGTGCAGTTGCCACAGTAACTATTCACTGAAATTGAAATAAACTAAAATGGAATTTATTTTCTAATTTAAATAAGCCAGAAGGCAACAAAAGTAAAAAGCAATACAACAACAAAAACTATAACAAACTGGTTGTTTAATGTGCATAATGTATACATAAATACGCAGAATGGCCAGTAAACGGTATAAATAGGGGATAGATAAAAAAAACAACAAAAAAACTCCGCAACAAAAATTAAATGTAAATATTGAGAATTTAGAAAAAATTAGAAAAAATATTTTAAATAGGTTGGAAAATTATAAAACTAATAAGTTAAGACACATAATGAATCCAAACGTTGAAGAAGGACTGACTTTTTTTTCCTAATAAAATCTTGATATTATTTAAAAAAAAATTTGGGAAGCTATCAATTCCTGTTAAATTTTTTTAAAATCTTTTTCGTGGGCTTTGAAGCCACTTTATGTCGTGGACTTAGTTTTCATACATTTCAACATAGACTGGCTATACTAAACCAATACTGGTAAGTTTCCAACATACAAAAAAATAGCCTTATTACCAAAACCGTGTGATTGCCACAACTCAGTCTTAAATCTGATCATTTAGAGATGGATTTGTCTTAAGCTCTCGACTACAAGTACAATTTGTATTAGGTACCACACTGATCCCACGTTCTAAGCTGTCATGGAGGGATCTCGGCTTTTTAACCTAACATATGAATCAGACAATAAGATCTTTAGATGCCTGATAGTATGTTATTAGTGGCACTTCCGTCGCCGTTAAATCCTCTCTTAAATATAAACCTAACCTCATTATTATGTGACATTGAGAGAAAAGAAAGATGGAATTTATCCCTTAGCGAAAGTTTTCTAGCTTCGACCCTTTTATATACTGAAAATTTTATTCAGAGTACTGACTTTCAGCTCTTTTTGGACACAAGCCGTGCGCAGGCATTCTTGGTCACAGCATACTTTTTCAAACAATTTACATGTCAAAAATATACATTAACATACATATTTTTAGGCGCACATGCCTGAATTTTATGGGTCCATCATAAAACRCAACTAACCTTCCACAAAACGCTCAAAAGTAGGCTAGGGTTAAGTATATTTTTCACTCATATGAAATTTTTATTGCAAAATGTATGGACAATTTTTTACAGCGCTGTAGCTATGTAAATATGTGTGCGTATGCCAAATTGCCTGAAAGAGGAAATATTCAATAATTTTATRTGCCAGCTTGTTGTTAGCATTATTGCTTATTACTTGTTGTTGCCGCGCTTATTGTTATGCCGCTTCGTAACTGCTTACTGTGCATGCCATCGCATTTGCATACCTACAAACACACAGACACAGTCAAATAAATTTCATTTTATTTACGCAATATTGATGAGCTGCTTCAAAGCGGCACACAGTTATTGTTGTTGTTATTTTTATGTTTATTATGTACGCCATTTGAGCTGCTCGCTTTTGCTTTTTGCACATTTTTTGCTGAAAAATTGCTAAATTTTTATGATTGCAAATATCGCTCTCAGCGCCATAGTCCCCTCACTCACTTCATTATGGTTATTGCGAAATTTCGCAAGTTTGTGAATGGCTCCTGCCAGCCATTGTTGTTCCTTGGCAGCTCTTTGTTGTTATTATTTATGTTTTTTTAAGCTTATTTAGAACGTTCTTCCTACGCTTTCGTCGCTCTTTCTGCAATATATCATATTTGTGTACTCCCTTATCGTTGTTGTAGTGTTGCTACAATGTGTTGCTGCGCGGTTTGTCGCTACAGCTGTGTCGCCATCTTCGAAAAATGCTTGCAAAATTTCCTCATTTTTTAATTTCTCCTGACTTTCTAAGGCAATCGTGCAAAATTCGTACTTTCTTTGTTTTTTTTTTCTGCACAGCTCTGCCATCTTGTGCATAAATTGTTGTAATGTTATTATTAAAATTTCTGCAAAATTAACTGAAATTGCTTTCATGACATTTTGAAGAATGTCAGCGTGGACGTCTCTTAGACGACTTTTATGTTCTATACTTTGTTAAGCGTATTTACTTAAAGGATAAATTTGCTGATTACCTTTTTGATGCTGGCACTTTGTAAATATGAAGAGCTCAGCTGTTGTCGTCAGTAGCTAAATTAGTGTTCATTTGAATTTAGATAAGCTAGAAAAGGAGTGAAGAGTTATATACATGGTTCTTTGAATATTTTTTTTAGATATATTGAGAAAAAAAAGAAGAAAAAAACTTTAACTTCGGTTGAACCGAAGCTACAATACCCTTAATAGATACAAACAATTTCTTACAAGAAGTATCATGACTCGAACTGAACCCTTTTCGGAGATTACGTCATTGTTTTGCACAATAACCCGTGCATAATTTGTGAAAATATCACTTAAAAAACAAAAAAAAACACTCCAGAAGAGCGATCATTTTGTGTCAACCAACTATGTATATGCTATAGTGGTCTTATCTGACAGATAGACAATAATCGATGCCACATTTCATGAAGATATCTCTTCGTCTATTCAAATGAAATATTTTTCGGTAGGAGGACTTTATTGCGATCGTACAGTGTGTAAATCAGCTACATATGTAGCATATACAGTAGTCCGATGTGGACTGTTATGACAAACGAGAAACTTCCTGGTGAGGAAAAAAAAATGGAAAGTTTCAGATCGATATCTCAAAATCTGAGGGACTAGTTCGTGTATACTATACAGACGGACGAACCCGGTAATTTTTTCGKAATGCAATGGTAACTCATAGAGTACGTGCCTGACTAATAACACCAATAACACATATGTTGCTTATTGTCGATTCAGAAATGAGCCTCAGCGCTGAAGATGATTTTTCGATGAAAATTCGAATMTTTTTCCAGTTGTTGCTCAATCCAATCCACGAACATGTGACGATTCTGACCACTACGATTTTATCCAGTTGGAATCGAGTCGGTTTTTCCATGACCGTTAGCTCGGCAAGTGCTGATCAACAAATAGAGCTTGTGACACTACGATAATCTTATCATCCGAAGGGAATTGTAAGAGGGCCTTCAAAACTTGTTACACTTAGCAGAGTCATACTCGTGGTTATTGTAGATTTTCTGCCTGCGCACTGCCCAATAGGTTAAAATTCATATTTTGACGATCGCGGTTTACCAAATCTGTATGGAGGAAGGTGATATGGAATTACCTTGCCAATTTCTCCTATATTGCCTGGCTTATTGAAATATCTCCGTATACACACATTTGGAAAACCTAGCG